TGAAAGATTGGCATAATGCTTGTACACACTTTAGTTGTAGACACTAAAGATAGGTAGAAAATAGGTGTATGGAATATACTTGTGTTCCTTTCTGAGCAAAGGAGTCCATATAATTCCTAATGCCTAATACCCCATCAGTAGAATCCCTCTGATAAAACATCTGATTTCATATTTACATTTACATTGTTTGATTAATGTGAAGTTACTTTGTGATTTTTTTTGTATTGCAATTTTCATAATGATAAAACATATTTCCTGAACAACATTAAAAAAAATAAATATATGGCATATAAAATGTATTTCAGTTCTCCGAACATCTGGTTTCGAAAGTCATCTTTTCCATCACTGGAGACTCTCTTTAACGAACCGCTACAATGTAGTATTGTATCGAGGTTATTAAGAACAGCTGCACGGGTCACATTTTCATCTGCCAAAATCTATCACACCTGCTCCTCTTTAGACAGTTTTATTCATTTCATTTTATCATTTGATTTATTCCGAATGTTCAGATCATAACCAAATGCTCTCCCCTGATACCGCCCACCTGCTGGCTTGGCCACTCTTCACAGGAGAGGACGAGCTAAGTGATGACTCGGATACTGCAGGTGGACACATCCTGCAATGCTGACACATGAGTCACATGAGTTGCCAGACATACACACACACACGCGCACACTATCTTTGGTGGGACTCTCCATAGATGTAATGGTTTTTATACTGCACAAACTGTATATTCTGTACCCTTACACTAGACTAACTCCTAGACCCATCACACAACACTTTCTGCATTTTTACATTTTCAAAAAACACTCATTCTGTATGATATATAAGCATGTTTGAGGCAAACACGAGTCTGTGTGGACTTCATATGCATAATTGTTTTTATACTGAGCTAATGAGTCTTTCTATTATTAATCATCATTAGGTTATCATAAGGTTTTTATTGTGGTTCAACGTGTTAATGAGTTGGTGTTGTGCAAGATCTTATCAGAAATCTATCCCCGATGACCCCCAAAAAGCTTCCCTCCAACTTTTTTTTTATGTGCATTCTATTTAATTTCTAGAAATTACATTTACCTTTTTATTCTTAATTAAGATATTTTGGCTAATGAATGTGTTTTAGATGACATTTTCTAGAACTATTTTATATTCTATCATTTTTAAATCAGTGTACAATGTATGATGAGCAAGCACACTGAAAAAAGCAAATGCATGACTTAAAAGAAATTATAAAAATTATATAAATGTAGCTATAACTGTTATGCATAGGTCTTAATGAGTCTAAATAGTAATACTTAATAAGTATAGTAGAGCTATAATTCATTATAAGCATGGTCTTCATATAAAGTGTTACCAACATTTCCTTTTCTTTGTTAGCCTTTGGCCTACTAGCTTAGCATAGAGCCCTAACTGGTTAAGAAAAGTCCTTTTGTTTAGTCAATTCAAGAGATTGTGATAATGTGCTAATATTTTTATTCAGGTATATTGAGAGGATCTTGATTGACGCTCTTATGACACTGGATTCATCAACAACAGGATGAGGGTCAGAACAAAACAAATACACATATTGAGACAGAAATTTAGCATGAGAACCTATTCTATGCTCAAAGTCATTTAAAGGGGGGGTTGACTGCTTTTTTGATTTTAAATAGTGTGTAATGTTGCTGTTGGTGCATGAACAGAATCTGCAAAGTTGCAGCGCTGAAAGTTCAGTGTAAGCAGAGATATCGTCTTTCAAAAATCAGGAAGTATATTGCCTACAAAAACGATTCGATTGGGACTACAGCTGGGTTATGGTACGTCACTACTGGTAGAAGTTGGGTTATGGTACGTCACTTACTGGTAGAAGTTTCAGTGTTTATATAAATCAGAAAATGTCAGATACTGCTGGTTTATCGAGTGGTGTTCCTCAGGGTTCTGTCCTGGGACCTATTCTTTTCCTTCTGTATATGCTCCCTCTAGGACAGATAATAAGCCAGTTTCAGGATGTCTCTTATCACTTGTATGCAGATGACATTCAGTTATACTGTTCCTTTAAGCCTACTGAGTTTTTTAAACTTTCATCTTTGATGAACTGTCTGAGTAGGATCAAGCAGTGGCTGAATGACAACTTTTTAATGTTGAATTCAGCCAAGACTGAAACTTTAATTATTGCCCCTGAGCAGAGCATCCCTCAGATAAAGCAACACATTGGTGACTTAGGTTCGTCTGTTCAGCCCAGTCTCAGAAGCTTAGGTGTTGTTTTTGATGCGGCCATGTCTCTGGAGAAACACTCGAAAGATCTTATTAAAAACTGTTTCTTTCAATTAAGGAACATTTCTAAGATAAGAGCCTTAGTGTCAAAAGCCGAGTTGGAGATGATCATTCATGCTTTTATCTCGTCTCGCTTAGACTATTGCAACAGTCTTTTTATTTGCCTTAATAAGAAGGATCTTGGTCGTCTCCAGACTGTCCAAAATTCTGCTGCTAGGCTTTTAACCCACACGAGTAAAAGGGCACATATTACTCCAGTTTTAGCTTCACTTCATTGGTTACCAGTGAGACTAAGAATAAACTTCAAAATTTTGGTCCTAACTTTTAGAGCCCTACAAGGACAGGCACCCCCATACATCGCTGACCTGATACAGCTGCGTACATCCTCACGTAGTCTGAGATCAACAGGCCAGAGACTATTAGTTGTCCCCTTTCATATTTTAAAACTAGGGGGGACCGTTCATTCCAAGTTGTTGCACCCAGGTTGTGGAACGCTTTGCCTCCTTCCATACGTGGCTTGAATTGTGTGGAACAATTTAAAAACCATCTGAAAACTCTGCTTTTTAAAGAGGCTTTTAACTAGATTGTAGGGTGGTTAGGCTGGTCTAATGTGTACGTATTGTTTATTTTATTTATTTTATGTATTTTATTTTGTTTTGTGATGCAATGTATTTATGAGAGTTGTATGCTTTCATTTGTTGTGAAGCACTTTGTGATCTTCATCTGAGAAAAGTGCTATACAAATAAATTTTACTTACTTACTTACTTACTTACTAACCCACACATTTGCATCAACCCCTCCCTCAGAATATGCAGAAAATGGCATGCGCATATTTCTGAGGCACGTCGACTCGTCGAGTGTGTTGTTCACGCAGCTGTCAGGTCTTCTGTGTTTCGTGCTTCCCATGGACGCTATACTTCCTCAACAATGGATACAATTTATGTTTGATTATGTTCCTGAAAATGACGATCGTAATCTAGCTCTCTGTGCTGCGCATTTTACGGAAGACAGCCTCCAGAATCTCCACGAGTTCAACACCGGATTCAACAAGAAACTGTTACTAAAACATGAAGCAGTTCCAACTTTAAAACAAGATGCAGCAGTTTTTGGGCCACAACCTGTAAGTAGGCTAAGACTTAATCATTTTAAATGTATTTTCATGTATAATTCCAGGCGTAGCCTTGTGTTTTATTTTTTTCAAATGCCAGTGCTGGCTTTATAGCCACTACTAGTTAGCCTATGCTATTTTGTGTCTACGACAAACGCGTACAAACATTATGGATCTTAATTTTCTATAAGTACTAATGTTTTAAACGTATTTTTCATGTATATATGCTTTATGACGTTATTTTCGATTTGATCAAGAACGTAAACTTGCCAACGCTGTTTGTGTTTAACATTAGTAGCCAGTCAGTTGCTATTGTTGCCAGTCAGATGCTATTGTGTAAAACAAACGTGTATAAAGTTAAAAAATGTAGCAAATTATCATTCAGAAACGTTTAGTAAGAGCCGTGTGTGGTGAGGTTCTGCTTGACTCTCTTCATCGCGGCTTTCTCGGTCTGATTCTGCCTCAAACTGATACTGCAGTTCGATACATATTTACATCTGGACCGGAGCTCATGACACACATGTTCCGCCCGTAAAGGTAATGGGCGTTAACCTTGCAGACAACGCGAGCGACAGTTTAGCCAATCACAACACACCGGGCCAAACTAACCAATCTGAGCCCACTACGTGTTTCTGAGGGAGTGTTTTCATAGACTCAGGAAGTCAACCGCTCGTTCAAGGACAGATGAGAGTGCGGCTGACAATAAAGGTGAAGTTTATGAAAAATAAGACTTTTAAAAAAAGAAAAACCATGAATACATGTTATATTGCACCCCATAAATACAATCATGCAAAGAAAAAAAGCAGTCAACCCCCCCTTTAAATATATTCACTCGAAATCAATTGCCAGTGGAGTTAAAATATGAAAATATGAGCTTGACTGTAGCACCTAAAAGGCCAAATCAGGGCACATTTTTTTTTTGACAGGAACTGATAACTGCTGAGAGAAAACATGTGTTGTTTCATGTATGCGATGAAACCAAAGTGACTCCAAGTCAAAATTGAATTTCATATTTTCCGCAGTCCTGTTTAATTGAGTGCTGAACATATGGTTTGTTGAGTGTCCTGAAATAGTGCAATTGTGTGAAGAGTGAAAATATTGCTTTGTCTCATTGTAGCAGACACCCAGAACTTATATTTCTAACTCAACTATCTTGTGCTGAAATACAGTGGAGGCTAAAAGACTACGACCACAAGGAATTTCTGTGAATTAACATCTCATTTAAACTGAGTTTTGATGTAGAATTAAAAATAAATATTTAAGATTAAAGCACACATTTTCAAATCATGCTGAAAGAGTTTTTCATTCAACTTTTTACTCACATTGTTATGATTTTAATATATTTTTTAAAGAAAATGAAACATTAAAAAATAAAATCATTTTCATTTCACCAAAACACAAACATTTTCACTAGTGGTCTCAGATATTTTGATAAGGTTAGTCATGGCAGGATTTTTGCAGAAATTACTTAAAGTGAATTATATACACACACAAAAAAAACAAAGCGTGTAAAAGTGTTTTTTAGTTTTTTTTTTTTTTTTTTTGTAATTACAACTGTATAGAGCAATGTGCTTAAATCAATTGCATCTTCCCTGATAAGTGTGGTTAAATCTGTGAGGCCAGTTTTTTCTCTCTCTCTCTCTGTATCCGCTCATGTCCTCTTTGATACTCCAAACTTGGCTTTCTATACAGAAATGAAAGCCAGAAGGCCCCACACTTGACTCAGCTTTGGTCAACCTCAAACAATTCCAGGAGTTTTGAGTCTTACATGAAAATGAATGCTTTGAGTCTTCTAACAGAAAAGTCCAGAAAGTTTTGATCCAGTAATGAGTCTCTTTCCTCACTGGGCACCTGATAGTCTCAACAAAAAAAACAAGTATTTGCGTCCTGTTTTTTTCCATACTTTATGAATCCCTCCGGCATGGGCAGAAGTAGTGATTAGTGGCATCCACAGGCTCTGACGACCATGTTGCGGTACTTTTTCAATATTACATTGGAACTGTCATCGAAGTACAAAACGGAAATTCCGTGCAGCTGAGTTGGAGCGCAGCAGGGCTTCGGGACTGTTTCTGGGTTTATGAAATGGACCTAGAAAGACAAGAGAAATTAATTATTTTAAGTGTTTTTGTTTTTTTATAATAACTGCAGAGCATAAGTATATAAATGTTTAAAATAATAAATGAATAAAATGTCTAGCAAATGTCCATGTCTTTTTTTCTTCTGTTGAAAAGAAATTAAGGTTTTTGATGAAAACATTCCAGGATTTTCTCCATATAATGGACTTCAATGGGAACCAAATGGTTCAAGGTCCAAATGAGAGTTTCAGTGCAGCTTCAAAGGGCTTTAAACGACACCAGACTATGAATAAGGGTCTTATCTAGCAAAACGATCGCTCATTTAAAAAATAAATGAAAAAGTTTAAGTTTAATAAGCTCACATATGCTCGCCTTGCTCTGTTCTGTGATGAGCGTTCGTAACTCTCCTGTTCAAACTCGTTCATCAAAATGAACAAATCTTTTTTCGAGTCATGACTCGAAGGGTCCTAGACAAGACCCTTATTCATCGTCTGGTGTTGTTTAAAGCCCTTTGAAACTCTCATTTGGACCTTGAATGTCCAAAGTCCATTATATGGAGAAAATCCTGAAATGTTTTCATCAAAAACCTCAATTTCTTTTCGACTGAAGAAAGAAAGACATGGACATCTTGAATGACATGGGGGTGAGTTAATTATCAGCAAAAGTTTTTTTTTAAAAGTGAACTACTCCTTTAAGGGCTTAATTAAAGCAGCACTATGCAGGATTTCCGTTTTTGGGGGTGGGGGTGGAGAAGCCCAACATTCAACCTGAAAATAGTCATATAACCATTGCAATAACTACGAAGCTATTCAGTTAAGGTAAAAAAAAAATGCATAGTGCTGCTTTAAGGGCACTGCTCTTAACCCCAAGTCATTGTCATTCTAAACCCCACTTTTAGCCTAGAGGAATGTTTCACACTTGTAATTTAGAAGTAGGGTTAACACCACTTTTTACCTGGAGTTATGAAACACTGCTCCAGAGCAGGGAGCTGCTTCGTCCAATCAATGACACTGATACATCAAATATGCAAATCAGAATGTTCACCCAAGGTTTAGGATTTTACAGTGTGAAATCATGCCATTAAGATTAATTATTAACCCTGGGTTAATTGTGAGCAGTGTGGAAAGTGAAGCAAGATAACCCAGGATTCCGTTTAACTGGGGTTTAGAACTATTTGAAGTGTGAAAAGCCCTTTAGAATACCTTGGCTCACAAATTTTCTACTATTGAGGTTTGATGTTATTGACGTGTCTCCATATTTTAGTTCAGCTTTATGTACTTGAGTTGATCGTTTGATTTGAGAGTGAATAACCACTTAAATTTTGGCTCAGATTCGGACCCTATTGATTCTCATTGTATGGACAAAAACAGCCGAAACATTCGAAAATCATCATGTAAGAAAGACAATTATATGCGACTGAAATAACACGTTGATCATTAAAGGGGAAATGAAGCAGTGAATCAAGTTTACATGATTTACAAGATGGATTTCCAATATAATCAACAATTATATAAGAAACATTACAAATGTAAACATTTAGAAGAAAAAAAGAAAAAACTTTGTATCTTTCGCCGCCAGGGCGCCGCCATTGTGCAGGTGACGTCACGGGGTTGGTTGGCTCAAGTTTAACAGGCTCTGGGCATTGAAAATCGCGACATCAAACTGTGTTTATACCAGTGTTTTGACCGTGAACGACTAATGTTAGGTACAGATATTAGACAAAAAGATGACGTCTCATGTTATATGTTGACAAACTGCACATAGAAACATTGTTCGCGATGTCTGCCGTCAGATATTCCCGTCTCGTCAATAACATGTAAGTTAGCACGTATTTGTTAAAGGAGAAATGAAACGTCCATATTTTCGCATTGGTAGTGCTAGTAACGTTAGCTACAGCCTACATACACTAGGAAAAAGTGTCTCCGCTCTGACATCCTTCAGTGAAAGCATCACCGCTTCCACACGTCTAACTCCCGGCACAGCATGGTAAACGTGCGCGCCGGTGATGCAGAATTGACCACGCAACACATGCTCAAGATCAACCTCTTGACAACAGATGGACTCTGACACGGAGGGCATCGCAGGACAACAGCCACACTGACACCTGGTAAGTTAGCGCTGCAAACCCGCTCTCCGCCCCAAACCACCACTGACTGTTCTACACAGCAACGTAACTTACATGGTGTTGACGAGACGGGAATATCTGACGGCAGACATCGCGAACAATGTTTCTATGTGCAGTTTGTCAACATATAACATGAGACGTCGTCTTTTTGTCTAATATCTGTACCTAACATTAGTCGTTCGCGGTCAAAACACTGGTATAAACACAGTTTGATGTCGCGATTTTCAATGCCCAGAGCCTGTTAAACTTGAGCCAACCAACCCCGTGACGTCACCTGCACAATGGCGGCGCCCTGGCGGCGAAAGATACAAAGTTTTTTTCTTTTTTTCTTCTAAATGTTTACATTTGTAATGTTTCTTATATAATTGTTGATTATATTGGAAATCCATCTTGTAAATCATGTAAACTTGATTCACCGCTTCATTTCCCCTTTAAATGATGACATAATGTTTGGGTTAACCATTCATTTAAAAAAAAAAAAAAGATGATTGTGGGACTTACCAGTGTCTGTACAATAGCATGGTTTGTGGCGTTCATATAAGAGTTCAAAGGAAACACACATTCTCCTTCACAGTAGTACGCAGCATAACCCTCTGGAGCAATGATCCAGTCCTGGAAATGCAAGAAAGATGAGAAAATTTAGATGAGACAAAGGCATACAATAAAAGAGCAGTCTGAAACACTTAGCTCATCACACTACCTGCCATCCCAGATCTCTGAAGCTCACATAGAGTTCATGCTTTTTGCAGCCTTGTTTGGGATCTACGCTGGCACCGTCTGCATAGAACAGGAGGAAGGATAATTAAATGTAGCACATTTGTGTGTTAATAAACAGGGCTAGGTAGTATGATGGTATACTGTGTGTTGGATGGTAGAAATAAATTAATAAAATGCATAAGGCTAAAAAATGACAACAATGAACAAACACAAGATAACATTTTATTGTAAAAAGTGTCACCTGTGGCTTCAGCTGTCTTTAAAGCCACCTGGCTGGGTGCAACACCAGGTTTGGGGTTTTTAGAACGGTGGTTACCCCTCTGTTTGTTTCCTGATGCTGAGCGAACACTACGGAGATGGATTCCTGACGCTTTCAAAAACGCCACCAAAAATGGCTGTTTATTCTGAGGTCCACTGCTGCCCACCAGACCTGCTCTCCTTGGATTCATTCTCTCACCTACAGAGGGCGAAATGAGTTGCATAATGACTTTAAGATACACATGCTTATGAGTTCTCATGTTACAATATTTTGTTTTGATTGTTCAGAACAACACCCTGATGTTTTCAGACATTTATTTTTTAAAATATCTTCGTTTGTCTTTCACAGCTGAAAGAAATGCGTACAGGTTTGGTTTGACATGATGGTGAATAAATGACAGCTTATGCAACTACCACTTTCAAGCCCCAGAAAGGTAGAAAAGACATTGGAGATTAAGACAAGAATTTGGAGATGATTTTTTTGTAAATAAAATGGTGAATTATTTATGTTTTATTGCGCAAGCAATACACTCATATCGCTTCATAAAATTGAGGTTAAAATACTGGAGTCAAATGGATTCCTTTTTTGATGCCCTTACTACCTTTCTGTGGATTGAAAGTGATATTTGCATAGGAAATTGAAGATATCTCTCAGATTTCATTACAAATATCTTACAATGGTTTAAAACAACATGAGGGTGATTATTAACAACGGGACAATTATTAATGACAGAATTTTCCTTTTTTGATCAACCATCCCTTTAATTGCCATTCATGGTAGGGCGGTAGTTTGGCAGGTTATGTTATATATTCCTATGTTATAAATATTTGAAGTTACCTACCATATGCACTTTCCAGAGAAAGCTGCAGTCCCAAGTTTTGACCAGGTTTTATGACCCAGTGGTTACTGGTGACTGTGAGGTCAAATACCAGCCATCCTTCTTCTGCCGCCCATACGACTCGCGAGTCCAGCAGGTACAGCTCCCTAAGCAGGGTCAAAAGAGGTCATCTATGAGTCAATAGTTCTATACTACGATTGAAAAAAGTATAAATGATGACTGAAACAATAAAAAACACATTGCTATGCTTGCTATGCAGCTTCTAGAATGTTCTGGGCAGTCCAAGTCTTCAAGACCCCATATATGACATATAGGGAGAAAAATAAGAAATTGTGGCTTTGAATTAATAATTTGTTCCTATAACTTATTAATTTGTTTCCTTATTTTAGATAAATTGTGGCTTCTAAGGGCCCTCTCACACCTACCTTGTTTGGTCCGGACTTTCAGACTTTTCAGTTTGGTCCGAAATCCAAATCAAAATTACAGGTGTGAAACCTACCCCACACCATGGTCCGACCAAATAGATGAAATTTAGTCCAACGAAAAAAAGAGGTAGTCTCCGTCCGGATCAAACTGAACAAAGGTTTGGTTTGTTTCTAGTGTGAAAGCATTTCTGTATGGTTCGGACGGTCAGACCTTTTACAGGAAGTTCTGGTGGTTCCCGCATATCCGAAAAAAAAAGCAGGTGGCAGGAAAAATGAGCTGTGGTAGCACATGGGGACTTTTGGGAAAGGAGGAGATGAGTTTTTTAATTGAAGTATGGTCTGATGACATAAAAAGTCAACTTGAAGTCTTCTCCTCCTTTGCTGCCGGAGACAATAAAATGGACGTTCATCTGGCGAATATGAACTAGCGTTGTGTAAAGTTGGTGTTGCAGGTATTTGTGCCATAAAAATAACAATATAGTTGCAACGATATGCGTCCACATAATTGCAGTGTGAAACCAAACCAAAATTTTCTGAAAGTATAAAATGTATCAAAACGTGAACTTTGGTTCGGACCTTGGTGCGGACTTTCAGGTGTGAAAACGCAATAATTTGTAGCCACAATATCTTTTTTTGTCATGCCATGGGCGCTGTACAAGTCAGTAGTAGTAATTCACCCCCAAATTTCCCCCTAGTCCCTAGATATGACTTGAATCTGGCCCCTCGTTCAGTAATAGTCTATGGGAGGTTTCGTCTGTTTGATTGTCTGCCAGGTGAAAATTAAAAGTCAGAATTTTTAGTATTAGTAGTAGTAGTAGTAAAGTAGCACACCAATTCTCAACAAGTCACATGAAGTTTAATCTTTATGAGTAAGTTTTTTGAAATTACTAACCCATATTAAGACCAATCACCACTAACTACAGACATAGAATGATTAGACCTTCTAATTTATGTAGTGGATTTAAATTGTCTATATTTATAGTAAAGGTGGGGTTACATAAGTGAAATTTCACAGGCAAAATAGGCCCATTCATTGTCTACAGTCAATAGCGTACCCTGCCAAATATTACACAGCCCATTCTCACCCCCAAGGCGTCACTTAACTGACGCCTTGGGAAGCATTTGGACATGCTTCAATATCTGACGCTTTAGGCGCCCTTTAGCGTCATTAAGATGACGCCCTAGGATCGCGTGTACCCTACCCCCACCCCACACCTAAACCTAATCGCGTCCTCTAACAGACGCTTTCCTTTAGCGTCAGTTAGATGACGCCGTAGGATCGCGTCATGTAAGTGACGCTAAAGGGCGCCTAAAACGTCAAATATTGAAGCATGGTCAAAGGTGACGCCTTGGGGTGAGAATGCGTTGTATTACAGCATAAACCCAGCATAAATTCCATGTTAGTCCATATTTATTCTGAGTAGAGCTGGTAGCGCTGATCTAGGACCAGCATAGTCATGTTGTTCTCAAGCAAAACTGAGCTGGTGTAGCTGGTCAACAGGTACTCCTGCTTTCCTCTGCTGTTGACCAGCAAACCAGCATCACATGCAGGTCCTAGCATGCAAAACAAACCTTATGCTGGTGACAAGAAATGCTGGATTTTTCAGTGCGGTAGAAATGTGCGAAGCATAACCCACACACAGGTAACTTTAAAACCATGCAGCTTCATAGAGCGAATCTGCGAGACCATTCAACTGTTATGAAATCTGGCCGAAATTTGCCAGACAATGGTAAATGGGGCCACACCTTAAACATCTCAATGAGACTGTCACAGCGGTGTAGTTTAAATGTAAAGCATGATTCATAATGTAGTCGAATAGGAGCATCATTAGCATTAATATCATGATTCCTTCATGAGGTTTTCTTTGCAGACAAGGAATGAGGACCTGAAATGCCATCTCATGCCAGAACTTGTTATCCTTCTCAAATAAAGATAACACAAAATAAGCTCTATTCCATGAGATAAGACCTTGAGGTCTGGCTCATATGACCCATAAATTCAAAAACAACAGACGCTGCACAGGCAACAACATGTTTCCAAGACAGCTCAAAGTTCTCTCTTATTAAATGTGGCGTTCCTTAAAAGACATCAGATTGTCCTCTGGTGATGAAAACAGGGTGCTTCTGGATGGATCTTCTGAACAATGACTTGACTTACAGGTAGGATTTCAGACCTTGAGGGCATCAGGAGACTAGGTGTCTAGTCGCCTTGCTGTCTGCGCGCATCAACGAGGTGAACCGTCTCTGCATAACAATGGGAGAGGTGCAGGAAGGATGATTCACAATGGGTGGTCTACACAGGGAATGTGTGCATCGGGGGTGGATAATGCTTCAGTGTGCATGTAATTTAGGACAAGCAATGGAGATCTCAAGAGAGAGAGAGTCTGTCTGAGCATGTCTCACCTGGAGGACCTCTTTAGGTTTGTTACTTTATGGACACAATCAGAACTTTCCATAGAGGTGTGATCAAGGATGAGGGAATGAAGGGGAAATCATTTTGAGGAATGGGGTGTTTCTCCAGATGTCTGAGGCGAAGAACCTCCCCTCCACCGAGGACTTTGCATCTCGATAATTGACAGTAATAGCTTTGTAATGGCGGGGGCCCTCACTGCTTGTTAGTGGCCACACCGTAAATCAGATAGAGGAATTCTGTGGGAGCCCTGGCACTAGACATGTACCGTTGGGCAGACAAATCAGTGTGTGTATGTGTGTGCGCGTAGGTCCATTCCTCCCACATTTAGGCTTAAAAAGTGTGAGTGGTGGCATATGTTCAATTTCAGACATTTCACTGTATTTTTTATTATGACTAGAGGCCGTAAGACACTGCCCAATTAAAAACCCAACCAACTTCAACATAGCATTTGCTTTCACATGTCTGAAGAATTATATCCTTTCCTCATAACTGACACAATAAATAACAAAACCATTAAAGGCCCAGGGAAAACAGATGCACATCCAAATTGCCAATTTTACTTCCAATATATTTTACAATAGAACAGATTTTCAATAAAAGAACGAGACGTGACATTATCCATTGGTAATTGATTGGATCATGTAAGTGAGTGTTACATTCCACAATGGAACAGAAAGTTGGAGGAATTTGTAAAGTCAGTCGAAAAAGAAAGTAGTTTGAAAGAAGGAGCATTTTGAAATATCACGCACTGTTGAATCATGCACAATTGAACAAGGAATGTTCTAGGCAATGTCATGGACTGAATGGCCAAATACAATGTGTTTTATAGTTACATACCTTTTGGGCTGCTGCCGAAGCACCTGGAACACACTGACACGGAATGTCTCATTTTCATAACGCTCGTGCACAAAGTCCTTGTAGATGCGGAACTCTGCGGCAGTCAGGGTTTCTCCCGCCGGGATGCGGGAGAGGTCAAAGCGGAACTCTCTACGGTGCTGATGATATAAATGGAGGTCTTCATCTGGGTCCACTTCAGAAAGAGGGAGATGATTGAGTAAATGGAAGTTAATTTTGTATGAAATGTAATTTAACTGTCCTTCAAGATCAAAAAAGCAATTCTATTTTAATTTAGCTGCACAAAAAACATACAATAATCTGTTATTAATATTATCTATTTTAAGACAATAAAAAAGTCACAGTTAGGTGGATATAAATATTATTTGAAACAAAAAACATTATCTAATTGGTCAACTTCTATTTGTCACAGTCCACATTCATTTCAGTAATGTTATTAACCGATATTTTGCATAGAATATATCTATGTAAAACGTCAAAATCTGTCCTGAGTTGGTAAAAACTCAAGTTGGTTTGGTCTCAATGCAAACTACAGGCTTTTGTCTCATTCGACTTCACAGTGCCGCTGCCCACTAATGAGTACACACACTCACACCACAGCATAAGTCACCATACCCAGACTTCATTCTGTCAGAAACACAGTCGAGTCACACTGAACGCTTACACTTGATTGCCTCAGCCACATCACTGTGTCCAAAAAAGAAATGTTTGCTTCCATAAGCCAGTGATTGATCTGGGCGCTGGGTACCCTGGGGAGTGAAGCTGGGGGAGAAACCACATGCCCTGCACCCACCCACCATAGACTTCAATCACACACATGTGCCAACCACAAGAAAAGCTCTGTTAAGAGCCTGGCCCGGAAACCAACGGTGCCCCACATATACATATACGTAATGGATACACATGCACGTTCAGATGGTGTATCGGTGGCTCAGATGGAGACTCCTTGGCATGCTAACCTGAGAGACCTGTTAACTGTGGTAAATTAATCTAATTCCGGATAAGGAAGAGGTCTTGTGGAGCATCTGGCTTGTTCCAAATATTCTAGACATGGTTGACCACATCTGGGACAAGGTTGTTACTATCCTGTTGAAAAGACCACCATATCACCAGCATATGTTGGGTTGTGGAAGCTGGAATCAAATCGCTTCACCAAATTTGATTCCTGGTCACCATTCCAGCATAACCTACAATTCAGTTCCAAGCTAAAATTTTCAGTGGGGTAGGCATTTTCTTCTTTTGTTGGCAATTGTTATCTGAATAAACATCTCCATGAGTGCAAAGAATAAAAATCATATGAATGAAGTCTTAAGCTGTTTCCTCCCAGCCCAAACTCAGCTGAGGCCATCCTCAGAATTTCCAGTCTGATGGTGGCATGAGCAGAACATTTCCTGGAGGTATTGTGGTGTTTTTACAATGCTAACCAATTTTTGTCATCCTTGATTACCGCCCCTCCACTAACTCCAAGGTTTTTAAGTGACCTCCAGCAGGTATGTAGGGAATAAGTCATGATGATTCCTCATCTTTTCATGCACATCCTGTCTGTGAGTTTGTGAAGCTTTTGAAGCATTTGTGTCTTTACATCTCACTATTTTGCAAGAGCACAGTTACTGGTAAAGCACTCTGAGAGGAAGAACTCTGAGCTATGTGCATAATCAAAATAGCGAGTCATTTGGTTTACCGCCATTAAACAGTGGAAAGAAAAACATGGGTATTTTATGGAGGTAATAATTGCTTGTATAAGGCTTGGTGCATTTATGTGAAATACCATATGATGCAATGATCTGCTCTCAGATATACATGCTGCACCATGTGCTGTGTTCTGAGGACAGGAATGAGGGCCAATTCACTTGGCAGAACAAACCGTTTTAATTGTTATAATCTCTGTTGAGCAAAAACAATTACACTTGCGGATGCAGATGCAAACCTTTTCAGTTGTGGGATATGTGCACTATCAATCAGTTAAAGGTTTAATCAAATGTATACATGACAATCAATCACAATTAAAAGATGATTAAATTATTGCATAAACTTTACAAACAGTGGCTTTAGAAATTAACAAGAGAACATTCTATTGTCTCAATACTAGGCTAAATGCTAAATATCAGACAATGACAAATGTGTTTTCTTCTGAGATGGCTGAAAAACTAATTGGGGGTCTAATCGGCTTTTTGATACCGTGGCAAAAAAATCCGAGGTAAGATCTGCTTACTTTCTTCAAAATCAGCTTATGAACATAAACAGGTGGATTTGTCCGCTGCTTGTTGTACGAGCTTCTACGGTGCATGGAATTTGGATTAACAATTCCCATAACGGACAACTGTTCATTTTTGTTTGGTTTATGATAATCTTGGTCAACTTTTTATCTTAAATATAAACTGACTAGGTGTCTGCTGTCAAACAGTTAATTTAATGACATTTTGGCTTAAAAAACATGCCAGTCTAAATGTACCAGGCCAAATAAGTGCTAAAGGTCTTATTTTGTTAAGAAAGGTTGGGGAGGATTTTTACATTTTCATTAGGAGCATCACTGTCTGCGTCAAACTTCCAAGTGAAACACGCAAACATGGAAAATGGGAGTCATTTTAACCACAAGCTGCTCTATGAGGTCACAGCCAGGTTGCTGGAAAACCACAAGTTCTTTGTAAATTAAAACTAGAAATAGAACGTTTGGAAAGCAAACTTTGATGTTAGCTTGACAACGCATTGTAACTTATAGATTTTTAGCTTGTATTTTATTGCTTTTTATTAGGCCCATTCCAACCAGTTTTACAAGACAGACAAGAACAGAAGAGTGTCCGAATTATCAACACATTCATATTTTAGATAGTTGGATTAAACATTGTGCAGTTTGAAGATAGGTGTGAAGTTTGAAGGTTGTTATACAAACCTTGTGTGCTTATACTCTTTGGTAGTTTGAAGAGAGATTTCAGGTTCGAAGGGATGCATGTCTAGGGAGGTTGTGGTTACTTGACAGGCTGGTTGCTTAGTAGTTGCTAGGGCCTTTAAAGGTGTTTCCTAGGGTGATTCCTAGGTAGTTGCAAAGATTGCTGCATGGCTGCTAAGGTGCTCTGAGTAGTTGCCAAGGTGTTCTGGGTGGGTACCAGGGTGAAATTATTCTGCCAGTCTTTAGAAAGAAAACACCATGTGCTACACCAGCCCGATCTCCCCGTCCAACGCTGATTCCAAAAACATCATACACCTGCCCACTCATTAAATGTCATTGTAAATTGAAATTAATTTAATGAAATTCTAGCACATTGGAATACTGTTTCCCTTGTCCAAGGGAAACAAAGACACGAATTGGGTTTAAGAAATGTTCAAGGAAGTCCCTGACCGGATCTTGCCCTTTTGGCCTTTATAAATACACAATCGGCAAATACATCAATTCACACAACTTAATGCCCACATCTCGGATTAAAATTAAAGCCCTGCATTTCAAGTATTCAGCATCTCTTTCGACCACACACATACACATTTTTCACACAAACTAAGAGGTCTAGTCTTGAAAGCAAGAGTGTTTAGATGATGTATGTGACCCTCCATGTCTACTGCCCTCAGCACTCTCCAAAAAATGCCTCCCTAAATCCTAGTCATGCGAAACAAAGCCCCATTAAACCCCATGTCTCAGAGCTTTGAGAATATTCTGTGGAAATTGGATATGCGGTTGCTGCCGTACATTTAACTGATGAATAAGTCAAGAAAGTAAAAAAAATGTTACTACATTTACTTACTATATTAATAACAGCACATTTTGCATAATTACAAGTAACTAACCATAAACCAACCCCTAACCATATATCTATAGTAAGTACAGGTAGTTAATTCATTTCACGGAGTACGAACAATGTAAATACCTTAACATAAAGAGTCTCCCCCAAATAATTATCTCTCTGAAGTGGAATTATTGCATAACACATTATTTGTATGAAAAATGAAAGCTGCTATCCCAGATTTGGGCATTCTTTTGCTGAGCACATTAAATATTAAGAATATTTAAGACATTTAAGATTTGAACTAAACACATAGGCCAATGTATATCTAAATATAGTTTAGAATATGAAATTTAAATATGAAAATTAAATTAATTAAATTAAATTATAGTATTTTCGCAACAAATGATCAAATAATCCCATTTTTTTTTTTTTTACTTTAAAACACTTCCAGGTTCAAAGAAAAAACATATGCATTGGCAGCAAAAGATTATTCTCCAGTTCTTTAATTTAATAATAGACCTCCACCTATTTATAATGTGAATAAACAAGAGCCCCCCCCCCCCCCCCCCCCCCCAAAAAAAAAAAAAGAGTTATCACGAACCCAATACAACCAAAATGGTTCTTGATATAAGGGGTTCTTTGCTTGACCTAACAAACATAAAAAATAAAAATAAATCTAACAGTAAATTATGGAATCAGCAATAATCAGAATCCAGAATCCTGATATCCTCTTTTGGTTAAATTACAATATGATAACTGATGTGATATTTTACTCTTACTAAGTTACAGGATTCGTGTTTTGCTATCAAATTCCTTTAGCAATCCATAGGCACTTAAAAAAAAAAAAAAACATGTTTTTAATAGGCTAAGTTATGTGTCTTAAAGATGATATATCGTAAGATGCTTACCCAGATTGACAAAGCTCATCACCATGTCGGCATCGCTGAGAAAACGACTGTCCTGTTGGGTCATCACCGGGGGTCCCGGGGTCGTGTACGCCGGCTCATAAGAGTACGCAATCCCGCTGCGTCGATCTCCGTCCTCCAGGATGGCGTTATACAAATCCAGCATGAACATGGGAGCTGCGGTGTGTCTCTCGAGCAGGAGCGGACGGGGCCGGTGCGGCAGCCCGAGGATGGAGAGGATCTCCCGCTGCATCTCTCTGCGCTCCTGGCTCTTCAGCCGCCGCTGGATGAAGCTGGACTGAATGTCATTCTCCAGGGTGAAGTTAGCTTGCATTGCGTCCGCGAGCACACTGCAACCACACGCCACTATCAAAGTTGAGATCAGCTGCACTGGAATCATAGTGAATAACTTCTCCTTGAATATAATAATGAATAATAAGGTTGACTTGAAGTCTTGCTACTTCATTCGATTAGGCTATATCATAAAGTTGAATTGATTTTAATTCTGAATGCGTTGAATAATCCAGACGGAGATAAATCCAACATGATCTGTAATGTTGCATTGATGGTCTCTGCTGATGTCTACTGGCTTTAAATAGCCCGCTGAAGCTCGTGGGTGGGGCACGCTCACATGGGCTGTCTTTTAGTAAACAACATCATAAACATAAGAATACTATACTTTGGTGAAAATGAAGTCCTCCTGATTAGTACAGGCACATTTCTATAGCCAATACGTTATTATAATTAGGCTACGCTTGCCCTCCATAAAAAGCAATCAAACAATTAAAATAGCCTAAATGTCTTTTGGTTCGTTTTTTTTAAAGAAAAATGCTCTGGTTATGTGACTATTTTCCCAACCTAAAAAAAGCAACTTTGTATAAAATATTTGGCTAACCCAAAATTCTGTAATAATTTACTCACCTTTAAGTTGTTCTAAACCTGTGTCAAGTTCTTTCTTCTGCTGAATGTGGGTAACCAATTTCTTGTCCCAACTTTCCCATTGACTTGTATAGAAAAAAAAGTCAGTGGGGGAGATTTTCAAAATATCTCATGTAGTGTTCAGCAGAAGAAAGAACTTCATGTGGGTTTAGAACAACTTGAGGTTGTGTAAATAATGTCAGAATTCTCGTTTTTGGCAGAACTATCCCTTTAACAATAGTTGGGTGGAGGATGTATCTTAATAAGTACCTTTTTTGCTCACCGATACAAACTGCTGGCCTTTGATTTGCTGTTGACAACTCTTTGTATAATCATTTTTTTCCTTTGTAGACCCAAAAAAACTAAATGTGGTTCACAAATGTGTCACAAGTAATGGGATTTAGTTAATATGGAGAACTCGGCAACCATTGATTTCTTCAAAATACCAGTACATTTATTGTTACAATAAAACTGTTTATTATTTCACAGTGGTAACCACAGCTGTGGTATTTTATTGGAAAGGAAACTATTTGTAAATGTAGCTATCGCTTGCTCAGTGCCATAACAGAATTCTGCTTTATTTATTTCCTCGAGGTTAATAATTGCAGCCATGTCCATCTGAGCACACACTTACCACCTGACCTGCTCAATGAAAACACCCAGCACATCCTTGACTGTAGCCTGCCACAGGGCACGATGTTACATTCCGTCCGCCTTAATCTCTGTCCGATTAGGGAACGAGTCATGACTGGACCCTGTTGGGGATTCTGAACGTCTGAATGACAGCTTCAGCATGGTGATCTGCCGTATTGCTGACCACCTGCTGTGGTCCGGGCCTCTTTTCCCTATGAGCAGCCCGGAGACACCAGTCTGGCAACCAGCACCACCCTCCTGCTGTGTTTCCAGTCTGCGTGCACCCGCCAGCCTGAGCCAAAAGGTCAAACGAGTCCCACACCCTGGTTAGCTCATTCGTGCACTGCCCATGCTGAAAGGCACCAGTGATCTCACCAGCAACTCTCTTTGTCCTACGATTAGTCCTTCCCAGACACTTTTCCTCAGCAGACCTGGGTGAGGGATGATGGTTGGGGGGGCTTGTGATGAGGGTGGCCCCCTAAGGTTAGCCTACTCATTGAGCCCCAGAAAAGAACAGGCCAACCCATACAAATTGCTGCAGACATCCATGATTTTTTCACTGTAAAAAACAAATCTGTCTCTCTTTGAAGCTGCCTCTCCTCTTTTTGGGATCATAATGTATTTAAAGGAGTAGGATCTGCTGTGTGTTTTTTAAATGTAAACTGTCAGGAAACAATTACATTGCTCATTCGGATTCGTCATGAGAATAACAAGACATCGACTTCATTCAACATGATTTAACCCTGTAAATCCTGACATATGAAATAATAGCCCGAAAATCAGACTGTTTGTTTTTTAATTCGACCTTTAGACCTTTGCATATATGTGTTGTTTGTTGAGGCCTTTATGACTAGCATAATATAGGAGAATATGAAGTGTTCAGATGCAAAAGCCTCTAAGTGCAATTTGAAATTTTCTACTAAAATTATCATTTTTATCAAGCTTGTATATTTAAGTCCAGTAATTTCACTTAAATGGCAATGAAGATTACCTATTAATTGTCATTTAAGTGAAATTACTGAACTTAAATACACAAGCTTGATAAAAAATGGTCATTCTAGAACAAAATTTCAAATGGCACTTAGAGGCTTTTGCATCTGAACTCTTCATATAGAGCTTATTCTCATTCATTAGTACATCCATAAGTAGGACAAACACTTTTAGCCGGAGTCACAAACTGAGCAAATATAAACAATTTACTATGATTTTTCTAAAAAAAAAAAAAATGTAGCTATAGGTATGGATCAAGTAAACCCAAGTAAAAACAGTAAAGATTTCAAAGAAAAGAGACACATCATGACCTGACGTCTTTGCAACTAAAAAAGTATTTTGCTAAAAAAAGTATCATGACAGAAGGCAGAACACATTGTAGGCTATAAAACAGGTTTTTCAGCAAAGTTTAATCATGTTGATGATTGAAAATACAACTAGAGTTTTTGTGAAATGGTTTTTAGTGCTTATTAAAGTTCAAAGGAATTGAGTAAATTAAATAGCCAGCCACAACATGCATTTTCTTGTTATCTTTTCATTTTGGTCCGTGGTTTTCTTCTGATTCTACCAATTAGCCCTTGGAAGTTTAAGATCTTGATTCCTAAACAAGCCAGAAAGAACATTAGGCTAATAACCCAAAAACGGGAACAAAGAAGCGTACTCAAAGAAAGCAATTGACAGGTGGGTTCTGCTCAAAAAAGCCACTATTCAACTGCAAAAAGCCACTATTTAAACCATTTTAAACATATTTGGAACAGCTATTCAACCTTTTGCACTATTCAATTGTTTATATTAACATAGGCCTAGGCTACTAGTATTGTTTCGTTTTTTTTGTTTTTTTTTTGATTAATCACTTCTGCTTTAAATTGCAAGTTACTTGGATAAACACAAGTTTTTTAATCTATATCAAGTGTAATTTTTTTTTTTTTTAAATTTTCCTTAGCCTGATTGATCATTTTTAGCAAGACTAAAAGCACACACGTTTTGAAGGGATGTTTTGCACTAGAGACAAATGGGGGAAGGGGTCTTTTAATGTCAGTTGATGATGGGAGATAATCCTATCGACTGGTAATTCACGACTTTAGTTGCTTTGTGATTAAACAAAGAGCTAGGGGCCGCTCTATGTATGTACTCAGCTAACAAAACACAAGATATGTGCTAATGTAATCACACAAATAGGCGCTAATTGCCTACAGTGAGCGTGCAGTTTTGTGCGTCTCTAAGTGTGAGCGCAATATGCCCACCCCATAGGCTACAATAACATGACTAAATAGGCTAATAATACTGTAATAGCAATAGTAGCCTAATAATAATAAGAATACTATGATAATAAATAAAACATAAAAATACAAAGATCAATATTATTTAAATATAGGTTTATTTATTATTAATACTACTAATAATAATGTTGTGAACATCAAAAGGCTCAAAATATTTTTGGGTGAATGTCACTTCGTTTATGTTTAGCATTTTTTTAAGCTGACATTCTACAACGTAAATGAATATGTATTTTACAGAGTCTGATTTTAGTAACCTCTAATAACCTCATAAGATGGGCACTTTTAAAAGGAAAGCGAATTTCCAAATTTAGCCTATACTGCCACCTTCCGGAGAGAATATGGTAAAACAAGGAGATGAGTCGTCAACTAGCCATATCAAGCCATTTTTTAAATCTAAAGTATGTTTCGAAATATTCCTGGTTGTTCAAAATAATTTTACGTTATCTTGCAATGGGGGGAAATTTGAAAATTAATTTTGTTCTTGTAAGTGACATTTGTGATTTTTATAGAAATCATTTTCAACCATCTAAATTAAAAAGGGATTAAAAAAACTCTTAAAACAAGAGTTGCCTATTATTGCATACTGCAATTCATGATCATGGTCAATCCAATCTAGGGATTATCTTCAGGCATATCTACATGTACATAGGTACATTTATTCTAAAGAAATAACAACACAATGACATGTAAAAAAGGACCCATGTTGTTGTTGTTGTTTTTTTTGTTGTTGTTTTTTTGCGTGTAATGTTATATAAAAATATAGCCTTCGGATTTATCGTTTTTTTTAATCTTTGTAATCGCAACAGTCTATCACTGCAAAAGTGCGCATGCGCACGACCACTGACTATATAATGCGTGGTCGCCTGCTCGCTCTTCCCAGTTCCTTCTTCTTTCTGCAGGGTAAGCAGTACTTCTATTTATCTACAAGTAGTGTTAAAAAAATGCTAATTTGTATAAAGTTATTGAAAAATACGCGTTGTGCTTGAATTGTATGGGTTAAAAAACGGAAATTAAGGGTTTTTGTATAGTTTAGGCTCTGACCACGTGGCTGGAACACGTGCTGCTAATGTGAGGGCTTCTTATTTTAGTTACTTTGTAGCAGACTATGTGTAATTGCCGAATGACCTATTTCCCCAATATTTGACTCACTTCATTTTGTTTGTTTCACAGTATGTGGGCTGTTGGGAAATTGAGCTTTGTTCCATCGCATACTCAGATCTTGGTGAGTTCAGATTCACCCTAGACTCTTCTTAAAAATCTTTGGTAGCCATGATGACTTATCTTTTTTCCCCAGCAGATCGACTCTGTTGACTTAAAAAATAAAACAATTAAGCCAAATTAACTGAGCAACCAGACTGTTGTTACAACGAGACTGAAGTTTTTGTTATGGTTACTGACCTTTACAACTTTTTTTCCCCATAGACCATGCTAAAACCTAATGGATAACCTCCATTCCCCAGGCTTTGTTTCATGAGTCCTACACACTCTCAAACGGGTAAGGTTGAACTTGTTCTTGGGACACTATGTCTGTGTTTGCCATTACCTGGTGCACATGATGACTGATCTTTTTTCCCCAGCAGATCGACTGTGTTGACTTCATTTTAAAAAATAAATAAGCCAAGTGAACTGAGCAACCAGACAGTTACAAGAACAATATATTTAATGTTTATTAAGGCAATTTACCTTTACTCCTCCCTTCTCCACAGATCATGCTTGGACCAAATGGATAACCTTTTGATCTGGCTTAATTTCTTAAGTCCTACACACTCTCAAACAGGTAATGTAATTAGGCTGTACATGTTGTTTGAGTGTTTGTCATTTACCTGGTGTACATGATGACTGATCTTTTTTCCCCAGCAGATCGACTCTGTTGACTTAATTTTAAAAGAAAAAATAAGCCAAATTATCTGAGCAACCAGACAGTTGCAAGAACCATACATTTAAGGTTTATTAAGTCAATTCACCTTTACCACTCTTCTCCACAGATCATGCTTGGACCAAATGGATGAAACCGGTTGAGCTGTCTTAATTTCACAAGTCCTATACTCAAACAGGTAATGTAAGGCTGAACATGTTCTCAAAACACTGTCTGCCATTTACCTGGTGCACTGTGATGACTGATCTTTTTTCCCCAGCAGATCGATAGTGTTGACCCTTGCTCTAACCTTTAAGCCAATTTGTCTGAAGCTTCACCAGATTTATTTTTTTGGCATACAAAGTTCAAAGTGCATTGCTTGGTTCTTTATACTTTTTGTTTTTGTCCCTTTCAAAAGCTCAACGTAGGTAATTCAAGAGGACCTTTACATGAGTGAACTTTGGATGGCAACATGTTGAGGTGGGTTTTCCTAGAATTTGTTTATGTATATCAAGAGTGGGAAAGAAATGGCTTCAATTTTTTGGTCTTATATTTTCTTGTACTCTTCTAGGGCTTTGAGATATTTGTACCCCGATGGCCAATCAGTGCCGAATCTACATGGAGAAGTGGGTGAAGTGTGTAATGGCTCTCTCTGCCAAGCAGCCCACATTTACCATTGAGGGAGGAAAAAAAAAAACCTTTTCCCCAATAAACCGGAACCATCAGCTTTGCTTGTTTTTGGTAGACTTTCTCTCATGCTCTTATGAATGTGCCATGTTATAATAACTGTCAATTGAATGAATTTAATAATTTATGACCTAGATCACAGGGTCTGTACAAGGTACCTGAATGTTACTTTGAAATTTAAGTCCTTGAAGACTCTTTGGAAATAGACATATTTATGAAGAGGTGCTTAAAGTGCTACACCTTGTTAAATACTATATGAAGAGTTCAGATGCAAAAGCCTCTAAGTGCCATTTGAAATTTTCTTCTTTAATGATGATTTTTATCAAACTTGTATATTTAAGTTCAGTAATTTCACTTAAATGGCAATGATAATTACCTATTAATTGTTATTTAAGTGAAATTACTGAACTTAAATATACACGTTTGATAAAAATCATCATTAAAGAAGAAAATTTCAAATGGCATTTTGAGGCTTTTGCATCTGAACTCTTCATATATGAAATGTCATTGTTAGAAAAACATACAATCTTTAATGCAAAATGAACACTACACCCTCCCCAAACCCTTTTCTCAATATGATGTACACCAACCCAACGTAATATAAAATATTTATTGAACAATGATAGCCATTATACAATTTGTATATAATATATTGAATGTTATATTTAGTTTTCTGTAGTTTGGGTTCTTAAATAAATACTCGTATACTAAAGACGTGGTTTGATAAGTGTGTCTCTGATTATAGTCTTTGAAGAAAAAATTAAAAGTATTTGAAAGTCTATAATTTCTTTTTACACTATTTGTATGAACTTTCTATGCCACATGTAAGTTTCATGGCCATTACAAGGTAAATACTTTCTAATTGATCCAAATGATGATCAACATGCAATTACATTCTTTGACTGTAAAATTTTATGTAGGCTAAAACTGTATGAAACTGGTAGGAATTCAAAGAGTTCAGTAAGATCCTATGGACTGATGCTTCTGCAAACTAACAGCACTCGCACTACACACTAGATTCCCTGTGTTCACAGTCTGGAATGTGGTTGTTTGTGAAAGGAATTGTGTGTGTGTTGTGCTGGCTTCGTCACATCATGCTACTTCAACTTCACAATATAGGAACAAAACTTAAATCTACGATTTAATCAATTCTATTGTCATATATGGTCTCATATTTAAAAAATCTTTTAGTGTGGGTCAGTTAACATGATACTCCAGATCAATATTTATTCCTAACCTGAATGCAACGTGCTTCTGCATTTAGCACTGACATTTTCAGAGCAGAATTGAATTTTTTTGTTGGTTTTTAAATTGTTCATTCATATTAATCAAGCAGTAGCTTTTAAGAGGTGTAATTTATTGTTTCAATTCATCATCAGAAAGCCTTTATCTCCCATACAGAGATTTTGCATTATTAGACTGCACATTAATTTAAACCTAACTCTTATTGGGTAAAATACCTCTATATAATTATACGTCTATATAATTCTATACCTGACTGTGAGAAGGCTGTTCTAACTCTTCTCTGTAGTGCGCTGCTGTTATAAACTGTACTCTTTTCTTTAACAAACACTAATTACCATGTGCCCTGTCCTCATTTGATTAACAAAAAGTAAAAGCAATAATAATCATACACACTTTTGTACAAAATATACAGATGCCTGGTGAGACTATGTATAATAACTAAAGACATTCTACACCATTACAAAATAACCATTACATGAGATCTGCCCAATAATTATAATTTGTTTGTGTCCGTAGATATCCTCAGTGTAACAGCCATGTATTATGATCCAAATAACCTAAAAAAATGAAAAGAACACTATTACATAGTAACAACTCTCCAGAAAACAGCTTTTAATTTTGCATAAACATGATTTTTTTTTAACAGCATGAAAGTAGGATGTCGATACTTACACAATCATGCAAAACATGATGAAAATGTTCCAAAGGGCTATGAATATGCGAAAGTACCGCAGACTCAGCAAAAACTCTCTAATGTTGTCACCTAAATACAAAAAATACATGATAAGTCAAACATAATCCAGGGCTACTTGAAAAATAAAAATTATGGAGGCAAAAATGCAGCATTTATCTATTTTAATTTATATCATAAAATTCTAGTCTTTAAAGTTGTAAAGACTAGAATATAAATTACAACATGGACCACTCAACACTGTTGTTGTTGTTGTTTAACGTAATTTATACAAAGGGAAATCAATTTAAAAAAAATAAATAAAACTATAGTTGACACTGGATAATGACAAAAAAGGAAGCATTTTAATATCAGTGAATTAATATAGGTTTTGCAGTTACCAGTACTGGATGATCCAGATTCATCGCCAAAGCCTTGAGACTGTGTTTCCCTCTTCTTTCTGCGCAAAGACACCGAACCAAACAGTTACTAAGCAATCCTCGAAACTAAAACTGTCAGATAGCTTTTGTGACTTTACTTACAGTTTAAAGTTGAGCACAGCGCCAGCGTTCATGAGCAGAGTGCTGAAAACGTAAGATGTGTGACGTGGACAGGAAAACAAACAGCTGTTACACAGTGACACTCATATACTAGACATATGAACATCACAAATAAATTTCTATTTCATAAAAACGTTTACAGCATTATTAAAACCAGTGACATTTACCCCACAATTAAAAGATCCCCGATCATTTTGGTCGACTATATCCGCCTCGGTTCGTCCCCTTCTTCTTCGATCTTTGTATAAAAGTAGAGTAGAAGTCAGTAGATCATCATCTCCACCTGTCGGCTGAAATAGAACACGACAATTCTGTTCCTGAGCACTCCGATATGCAAAAACTGCATGCATCCTCCTCACCTCAGCCCCTGCCCATGATGAACCTCCTGATGGATAGAGGGTAGTTATATAAACCCTGTTACAAACACCAAAAACGAGCCTATTTTTTTTTTTTTTACAGTCGATTTTAATGTTACTAACAAATTTTTAGGTTTTATGGTTAATAAATCAGCATTTCAATGATGGCAACTCCTGAATAATTTTCATGTTAATGGATTTGTTGGTGGTGGTTGGCAGAAATCAAACTGTGGAAAAAAATCGACCTGGTAACAGGCATAAACCTAGATAACACTTTATATGTGATGTTTACATCTTGAAGACGTATTTTTAAGAGTGTTTGCTCATCTGCAATACGTCTATAGGACGTTTTCTGTCAGTTGTTTAGAAGATGTCAGTTTAACATGCATTCTAAATCATTACATCTTAAAGAAATCTTCTAAACGTCTATTTGACATCTGACAGGAAAACGTAGACGTATTGTAGATGAGCAAACACTCTTAAAAATATGTATTCCTGATGTAAACATCACATCAAATAGACTTGTGTTATCTGGGAAGGCTAAATAAATCCCAAAGCAGATCTAGACAGGTGGAGCTGGGGGAGGTGGGGGTTTCAGAGGAGCTCTAACAGCGCGCTGCAGGAGTTTACAGCTGCCACTCAACCAGACTATTTAAAGGAGCTGTATGTAAGATTTTTTTCAAATGATCATAAAATGGCCCTGATATGTCCCTAGACAATAATAAATCATGTTCATTTTAAATACTTATATCACTGACAACAGTAGTCCAGCCAGGATATTGTCATTTAAAGGGTAACTAAACCCCAGCCTGGTCAGAGCCTGACTCCACCCACTGGCAATATTTGAAAAATGCTGAAAATGTGGGCAGACCCCAGCGGAGATAGAGGGGACGAAATAGATGCTAAAACACTCTATCCTGATCGTTTTCAATACTCGCAATTCCAACTCCTGACTCACTACAGTGGTTTTGACGAAACAAGCTGTTTGTTATACTGCCAAGGGCGTAGCTTGTGTCAAGAGGCGGCAGTGGCTCAGTGGTTCATGTAGATTGTCTACAAACCGAAAGGTTGGTGGTTCAATTCTCAGCTCCACCTGACCAAGTGTCGAGGTGTCCATGAGCAATGACACCTCTCGATGAGCTGGATGGTGCCTTGCATGGCTGACACCGCGTCAGTGTATGAATGTGTTTGTGAATGTGAGGCAATATGTAAAGCGCTTTGGTGGCCATTTCTTTTCTATGAAAGCGCTATATAAATGCAGTCCATTTACCATTTACCAAGAGCGTGGTGAGCTGAAACGTGCGAAGAACCGCTAACATCCAATAGGAAAATTAAATTGCAATAGCCACCGTTCAACCTGAAGAGGGCAGCACTAAGACGTTTTTACCATAGGATCCATATACAGGCTATATGTCTCATGGCGGAGTCTTTATCGACATCACTGGCGGCCATCTTCTCACAGACAGGCTTTCTGGTGGGCTCTGTGGTATCTGATGTAAGAAATACTCTTATCTCGTTGAAATCTTGACGGATTTACAAACGGTTTGGTTTCTTACAAACGTTATTAACGTGGCTATAATTCTGGATGATTATTTACACTTATTATTCATACATATGCAGTATCATAACTACATCTCTGACGTTTATAACAAACCAGACCGTTTGAAAATCGTTAGAAAATTGAGCAAGTTACGGTGATTTAAAAAGTACATGCACCATTAAAACAATGCTACGAGTGAGCGAGCTGCCTCTGACAAGATGGCCGCCAGGTGCTGACGTCGACCTCCATTGGCCAGCAGCGCGGACGAGATATCTAGCCTTTATATGGATATCTATGGTTTTTACACCATATATTGTAGAAATAAAACACTTTATACACAAATGTCAAAAAGTTACTTGAATCAATGACTGGTATTAATAAAGACCCATTCTTACAGATCATTAACTAAAAAAGTTGGTTTAGGGTTTAGTTACTCTTTAAAAAGTAAAGTTGCAGCCCTCAACTGGTGTTGTTGTGTTTTGGTCTGATGCTCCACCCTCCACCTATCTACCAATCACGAAGTCAGTAGTGTTGCGGCATTCGGTTTGCCAGCTCTGCTCTAGTCTGCTCCAACATCTATATGGAATCTGAACCCTAATATTTTTTTTCCAAACTGGGGGTTTAAAATTATTATTACATAATGATGAACATCCCTATATCAAATGTTCCCTTTTTAGGCAAATGTTATTAGCTTGTGTCCATCATCTTTAAAAACAATTTTACACCTCACTCTTATATAATTCAGAATAATAAGGACCTACTATAAACATAAATCTCCTTTCTTTGATCGTTGTTTAAAAATTGAAATATTTTTGTAAAGCATGGAATTCCTGCAGTTCCAAGGAGTTCATGTGCTTTTAAAGGATTTTCTTTTTTTGTCTTTTTGTAACCTCAGTGGATTTGTGTAAGACATTAAATAGTGCCTTCTTCATCCAAATAAAAACAAACAATAAGAATATTCGAGTCTTGTTTCAGGAGGAGTCTGTTTCATCTCATGTAATTTCTTAATGGCACTTAATCTGGACTGAGAGACTAAAGGACTTGAAATATTAATGTATAATGTATTATGTTATGACAATGATGAAAATTGATGTTAATGTTCTTCCGAAATGGCTTGATAATCGATTCGGCGCGCGCATGTCGCGGTCATCCAGTAAGTGGCAGTACCTCCTCCGCGCGAGCAGTGTCCGTGTGTGTTGATTTCACCTCAACAGTGCGCCTGAGCTTGCTGTGTATTAATAGGCATCTGCATTTGAGTGAACCCTTTCACTCGTGCACACGGCGAGTCTCTTGAAGATCTGTTCATGCGGTAGGGTCGAACATCATGGAAGTGCTAGATGTCCTTAATCTGGGCGAAATTGCCCAGTATTTCTCGAAAATGGCGATGTTTCCAGTATTTGATCTCGCTTATTATATCGTGTCAATACTCTACCTCAAATATGAAACAGGTAAGTTTAATTGTTGTTTAGAGAAAACAGCAGAATATTGCTCTAGAGCTTTATTATGACGATTTGTTTTATGCATTTACATTAGGCTACTTGGATCAATAGAGCTATGGCATGGACTAATAATGAATTAACAGCGTTAATATGAAACAATTCTCAAGGCTAATTATTGTTTTCAACAGGTGTTACTATGTCTCAGGGTTCATTGTAACTCTGACATTGTTTTTGCATTAGAATGGCATAACAGTCCTGTTCGTCCGTATTCATTTGATCCTTGTCTCTACGTCTCAATCAGTATTTTCTCTATGGTGAAGAGTTGTCCCACTCTCGAAGAGCCTCCTCGAAACACGATAGAGTCCGTGCGCATTCCACTGCGAGTCTCACTGCAATAAATAGAAGCGCCGTAAATAGACAGCAGCAGAGAAGACAGAACGAAGCCCAGTAAATTTGTTAAGCAAATTCATGTTGCTCATGGTCGTTTTACTACGACTTTGTAATTCCTATTATTCTCAATAATGATTCTCTACCTGGAAAATATGTGTTTTATGTTAATAAGAACGTGCTTTGTGGCATTGCAATTATGAGATTTTTTTTTGCATTAAAGTTCTAAGTTTTGAGTTTTTTGCATTATGGTAATGAGAATGAGATATTTTTTTTTAAGTGAATTGGGGGAAATGTGCTTAACTGTTATTCATCTTGAGGTGACATTTTGACTAGTGCAGTTAACACATTAGTATAACACACCAGTAATAGTGAGATTTATTTTTCCATGCCTCAATATAATGATGAAAACAGAGTACAGAGCCTAATAGTCGATCAGTGATCACCACAACTTGCCATCACTTAAAATGGTATCATATTGTCAGATATACCTGGCTTATATAATATAATGCTCTCATACATGCAATTCACAAACTTGTGATAAAGCACCATAGAATTGCACCATGAAGCAACAGGAAGAATTTGATATATTGTATGCATACAACACCACTTTGTCCATACATTAGCCAGTTGCTAGCTGAAGCCTGTCAGCTGTTTGTGAATGTTGGATGTCATGACGTGAAACAGGCCTGCAGTTTGAGACGAACAAAAAGCTTTAGGCTTCTGTTTATTTTTAGGCCACATTTGAGAGGATCATTTTTCATTCAAAATGCCTGTTGGGTGTGTAACAACCCAAGCTACACCTGTTCTGTGCGATGTGTTCATCCTTGGAGATTAAAGAGGGGTGGTGTGTGGACCCCAAAGTCTTGATATACAGCATGTCTTAGTGGTGTCAGAAATCATGTGGTAAACCCTGCACTGCTTTAGAGATTAATGTTTTTGATGGGATACACTGTAAAACAATTATTGCAATTTTAGACTGTACTCATTTAACAGTAAAAATCTTAGGGATATTTCACCCAAAAATGAAGAATGTTGTTAACCAAACAGTTGATGGGCCCCATTGACTTCTATAGTATTTTTTCCCCATATAATGGAAGTCAGTGGGGCCCATCAACTGTTTGGTTACTGACATTCTTCAAAATATTTTCTTTTGTGAACTATCCCTTTAATCACTTAACAGTAAGTTCTCTTACTCTGTACAGTTAAAATCTGTTATAGACCATATATATGGGAAATTTCATGTAATTTACAGTTGAATTAGTTTTTGGGTGTGAAAAATTACAAATGTTCTTACAATTTTTAGTGAAAAGGTGGTTGTCAGTAATTTGGTATTGTAATATTAATGAAATAACTGTAATTTATATTTAGATAAAGCTTAAAATGTTGCTACTGTATTTTTTATGGTTAAGTTCAGGCAACCAAAGCTGCAAATTTGTTATCGTAAATTTAATAGACATTTTGTTTTACATTGACTAAAGTAGCCTACAGTGGGCTCCCAAAGTCTGAGACTGTTACAAGATGAAGAAGAAAATGAAGATGGACGGCACG